CCTCTTGTTCCAAATGTGATTAAGTCTTTGTCTCCGGTGCAGCTTCTTGTTGAACAGCCACCCATCCGTCAAGTGTATATGCATCGACGACATGTACCAGCTCCTTCAGCTTCATCACCATCGACAGATCCGACAATTGTTCCCATACCAGCCACACCCCTGTTTCTAACCTTGATCTTCCTATCGCCTTGTGGAAAGGTAAACGCAGTTGCACACTTCATCCAATTTCTAATTATATTTCTGTCTCTCACCTTTCTGCTTCCCATCGCCAGTTTGTTTCTCTGTTGTCTTCTATTTCTGTTCCTATGGATGTCCAAGAAGCCATTGCCTCTCCAAGGTGGCGCCATGCAATGGAAGAATAACTCTCTGCTTTAGCTCATAATCATGCGTGGGATCTCACCACGCTCCCTCCTGGTAAACTTGATGTAGGTTGTAAGTGGGTATACACTGTTAAGTATTTACCTGATGGTAGTGTAGAGCGGTAGAAAGCTAGACTTATTGCCAAAGGATATTCCCAAACATATGGTATTGACTACACGGAGACCTCTCCTGTTGCTAAAATTGGTTCAATTCGTATTATGATATCTCCAGCTGTTATGTATGATGGCCTCTATTTCAGCTTGACATCAAGAATGCCTTTTTACATGGTGATCTCCTTGAGGGGTTCTATATGGAGCAACCACTGGAATTTGTTGCTCAAGGGGGAGGACGGTAAGGTGTGCATACTAAAGAAGGCCATGTATGGACTTAAACAGTCCCCCCGTGCGTGGTTTGGTAGATTCAATGAAATGAAAAAGAAGTTTGGTATAAAACAATGTTAGGTTGATCACTCAACATTCAACTATGATTCACATGTTGGGAATATTTTACTGGTGGAATATGTAGATGATATTGTCATTATTGGCAGTGACAGATTGGGGATTGATGGATTGAAGAGCTTTCTACAGGAGCACTTCCAAATAAAGGACCTTGGTAAATTAAAATATTTCTTGGGGATAGAAGTAGCAAGGTCTAAGCACAGTATTAATTTGTGCTAGAGGAAGTATGTTCTTGATTTGTTGGAGGAAAAAAGATTGCTAGGTGCTAAGCTGGTTGAAACACCTATGGAACCAAATATCAAGTTTGAGTGGTGATATGGGTGATCCGATGAGGAGTTTGAAGATCCCGGAAGGTACGGGCGGTTGGTGGGTAAACTAAATTACCTAACCATTACTCAGCCAGATATTTCATTTGCAGTTAGCGTGGTAAGTCAGTTTATGCAGAATCCTCGGGTTCCACATTGGGGTGCAGGTTTAAGGATTGTAAGGTATTTGAAGGGAGCTCATGGTTGTGGCTTGTTATACAAAAGTGGAGGAAATATTGAAATATAAGGATACATGGATGCTGATTGGACTGGTTCTATATCTAACAAAAGGTTCACTACAGGTTATTGTACCCTTCTTGGAGGTGATTTGGCGACATGGAAGAGTAAGGAACAGACTGGTGGCAAGAAGCAGTGCAAAAGCTGAATATAGAGCCATGGCACATACAACTTGTGAGCTAGTGTGGTTGATAAATCTTCTACAGGAGATGGGGTACTCAATTGACACTCCAATGAAGCTTTATTGTGACAACCAAGTTGCAGTCTACATCTCTTCTAATCCAGTTTTTCATGAGAGAACAAAACATATAGAAGTTGACTATCACTTTATGAGGGAGAAGGTGCTAAGTGGAGTAATAGCCACTGCATATGTTAACAAAGGAAATCAATGGGCAAACTTTTTTTTTTTATCAATAATGGGCAAAATTATTCACCAAAGGGTTGAGTCGGGGAAGAGTAGACTACATATGTAACAAGCTGGGACTATATGATATATACTCACCAGCTTGAGGGGGAGTGTAACTGTCGACTAATATTGGGGTAGTTTTGTCAATTTGTTTATGTTTGGCGTGAGGCGTCATGTTTAAGTTAAGTGATGTGTCCCATACTTAAGTAGGGGCACAGCAAACCTTTTGTTTTTCATTAGAAAAGTATAAATACAATTTGGCTGACTAGGGAGAAAATAACTCACTCTCTAGTTTGAACAAGTTTTTCCTTCTCTCTTCTCTTCTTCTCTCTCTATCCTTTTTTTCTACTACTGTTATTTCTTACTGAATTCTAGTGCAGGTCTGAACTTTATCAAGGGTCATTCACTGGTTGAAATCAACAAATTTGTTTAAAGACTTCTCAGCTGAGGACATTTACAGGAATTGGAGAGAGGTAGCAGCTACAACTTCCTTTAGGCCTAATGTACAGGAACTATGATACCCACCAACACAACAGAAAATGAAATTAACTTTGATGGGAGATCTAGGGCAAACCTGGGCCCGTCAGGTATAGTGGGAGTATTATTATTATTCTTTTTTTGAATGTATAAGGTAAAGCACTTCATTAAGATCAATATAATGAAGCCTTTATACAAGGAGAAGCTGTACGGAAGGAAACAGCTATCCACAAACAGTCAACCCTCAAAAAATACCAAAAAGCTATAATTTCCTTACAAATAGGAAATCTGAATTAAAAAAGGAAGAGATGGAAATGGCAAAACCATTGCTATGTTTTCGGGGCCTATAGGAGTAGGTGACTCTTTAAGAGCGGAGGTGATGGCTTTGCTTCAAGGTGTAAGAAATGCCAAATAGATGGGGCTAAACCAAATAGAGATAGGAGATTCTAAATTGCTAGTTGATTGGTTGAATTCAGGTAGTTTGGGAGCTTGGATATATAGACACACCATAAGGGAAACCCTCAACGTAACAAGGGAGATTGGGGCTTATTTCAATTGGACTAGAAGGTCAGCTAATGGACTAGCTGATACCTTAGCTAAACAGGGGACAATGAGGGTGAATCTATTCTGGGCAGAGTTGTAATAAAGGATTATTGTGGGTTTAACACCCTATTTCAGGGGCAGACAGTTGTATATGATATTTCTCTAAATTGCTTTAATTAAGTTACCATTTCCAATCAAGAAAGAAAATAATGCAACACTCTAACCAAGCGAAATAATAGACCTTTTGAAATATTTAACTTCTTTTAGAATTTAGATTCGCACATTCTTCCAAATTAAAATTTTCTTTTGTCTTTTATTTTTCTCAAAAGTAGCACTTCATTGAGGCACATGCCTTGAATTGTGCCTTGCACCTCAGGCTCTAGGAACCCCATTGTGTTTTAGATGAACTCCTTGCTTTTGAGACACTGATCATACTCTAAGACCCCCTTGCACTTTATTTGAACTTCTCACTTTTTAAAGATTGTGTGTGACAAATATACCTATACACAGGCATGGGCCATAGGGTTATGCATCAAGGTGTTATAGAAGTAATGCTCAAGGAAAATTACTCATATTTTTTAAAGACTGCAAACATAATAAAAATAAGCATTTGTTTTTTATTTTTTTGGATAGTTAGCATCATGGTTTTATTGATTGTAATAAACAATGTCATATTGTCATGTACAACGAGATTTGCTTCTTCATCAGGTTGGCATATACCACCTAATCTCTCTTTTCATTTTAGATGTAACTTTTACATACAATCTTCACTGCTTACCCTCCAAAACAGCTATTCCCTATTTTACCCCTTGTCTTGCAAGAAAATCAGCCAATCTAATTGCAGACCTAGGAACCCAATGCAGACACTTGCAACTCCTTTTCTAGATGTTTAATTTCCCTCAAAATGTGCCCATATTGTCATGTACCTTGACTCTTCCACTTTATCCATCTTGGTCCCCTCAAACAGATGGTTGGAAGAAGCTGAACTTTGATGGGATCATGGGAGTTGTGTGGGTAACCCAGGCCCTTCAGGTATTGAGGTGCCACTAGAGATGAAAATGGATTCATTATTGCTCTGTACTCCGGTCCTGTTGAGGAGGGTGATGTGGCAAAGGCAGAGTTTCTAACTGCAGCGTATGGGGTTGAGAAGGCTAAAGAGTTGGGGATTAATAGACTGATCATCGAGGGAGACTCAAAAACTGAGATAAAATGATTGCTGAAAGGGGAAGGGGTGGCATGGCAGTTGAAGAATGACTTCAGAAGATTTAAATGGATGTCAAGGAACATGTCAATCCAGGTGGGATGGGTTAGGAGATCTGCCAACAGTTTGGCAGATAGCTTAGCAAAGCAAGGGGTTCAAAGAACATATATGTTTTGGGCACATTTGTAATTCTGTCCTGGGTCAGGTTACTAAGCTGATTCCTTTTGCAACTTCTTGTTGTATCCTAAAGCATTTTAATTAATGAAATTCTTTCAAGGTTATTGATAAAAAAAAAAAAGTCTTCTTCCACCACTAATTGCTGTATGTTTAGTCTTTTACCCAGCCTTAGGCTTTACAGTACAACCATCATTTCTGCTCTTGTAGAGCCCCACCCTATACTCCTATAGGACCTGAATATATTGCCTCTATATCTATACTACAGCCCCATGACAATCCCTAAACACACCTCCAATCCTAGAATTGCCATAAAAATAAGTATTTGTTCTTTAACCAGTTTGTATTAAAGTTGAAGTACCTCTATGAATGCAGAATTTATTTGGGAATGAATATGCACATAACATTTCCATGTTCTTTTCTTAGTTATTACTTAGTAGGGTAGATATTTGGCAAAATTTTCTTCTAGAATGAACATCATGAAAACTATTTACACCAAAATCAGCCACATTGAATAATCCAGAACTCCGAAGTATACTCCAGCACCATCAATGACACCTAATTCTCTCTAATAGGAATCGAGAAAATTGTATGAAGATTCAGCAACTTTAATTCCTTAGAAGCATAAGAATGACAAGGGTAAAAGTGCTGAACTTATATTCACCCCCCCCCATCATAATCACAGAGGAAAACTTTAATAAATCACTTGAACTGGGCAAATGTATAATGAAATGCTGGAAAACAGAAACAAGAGGAAGAATTGGAACAAGAAATGTAAAAAAGAGAGGAAGGGAAAAAAAAAGAGAAAGAAAGAAAAGAATGGAATAAAGAAATAGTACTTTATGAGAAGCAGCTGTCTATCTGACTCTGATGTTATAAAATCATCATTATCTTCAGACATGTACTGATTGGACCTAGCTGCCTGATGTTGATCTGGAAGCCTCATTAGCTCTTGACGCATTCCATTAAGACCACTGGTTACTGTAGTGTTCTGATCCTTTCCAACTTCTACAGTTTTCCTGATAGTAGCTACCTAATAAAATGATAGAATCTTTAGGACCAAATAAGTTCTTCATCGATCAAAAAATACCATACAATTTCTTGAATGAAGGCCCTAAATAAAACAATGAATGAAAAACCAGATCAACCCAAAAGTACCAGATTAATTGGTCAAAAATAAACCTGATAACTAAATGCTTTTTTAAAATCCAAGTTCTTTTTCCGGTTCACTCAGACTCAAATACCATAGTCATTGGTTAGAAGTTGGCAATATAATAAGGATTATACCTGAGCACGAGCCGTGCTGGTCCATCTTTTCCGTTTGTCAAGCTCCACTTCATCAATGCCATACCAGGTAGGATCTCTAGCTGCTACTGCAATTGCCTTTTCCAATTCGTCCACCTTCCTATCAAGAAAGTATATTTTCAGCAGCCATAAATAGATTTTGTGATAGCAATGATTAATGCACTTACCCTGGCATGGAGAATAAGTGCATGCAGTAGCTCCCCACCCCCTCCTTTTCTTCTCTTGTTGGGGTTTGGGGAATATTATGTTATAGGCATCAAAATCCAGAAATTGGAATAAAAGATATGTCCATGCCACCTAAAGTGCAAATACTAGTTCTTGATGGTTAATGAATCGGAAAACATTATTGCCAAGGAAATCAAGAAAAGATTAAGTCAGTATATTTAATTATGTGTCCCTGCTTAAAACTGGCAATCTATAATGAAGTCTTTCAGTACAGGGAATTAGACAGCAGATGATTCAACATCTAACAATTGTTATAACAGCTAAAGTACCTGCCATTCAATGCTCTCACAGCCAGCTAGCAAGTCCTTTGTAAGATGGACTCGTTCTCCTGTATTTGGAGGGATGTTTTCCCAGTGGTGGAAAGTAGATTGCAGCTTATCAATCTGATAAAGGAAATGGAATACATTTAGGAACATCCTTGGAAAGAAAATCTAAAAAAATGAAGTGACACAACCATTTAGAATTGTCCAAAATCTTAGGGAACCCAAAATATAAATGAAAGAAGAAAGCTCATATCCGTTATATCAAAATAATGTTCTTTTAGATGGTAAAATAGAATGGTGATACCAAAATGCATCCTACATATCAAAATAATATTCAAAGATAAAGTAGAATGGAGACATAAGAAGAAATTTAAAAAGTTCAACCACTTCCACAATACACCCTACTACAACTTTTCCACATATTCTTAAATAAAACAAATACATAGATGACCTAAGCAAACCTTGTCAACCAAACAACTTGAAATTAAGAAAAGTAAACTATGGGCCTAATGCATAGAAAATCAATAGAAAGCCATTACCCAATACTGGTCACAGCTATCCAGGGTATTAAGAGGATGGACTGCATGAAGACAACCTCTGACATGTTTTTGCACAAAGTCACTACTGTCAGTCTCAAACCCACATTCTAATGCTTGTTAGCCTGAAATTTTGTCATGACACCAAGCAGTTGCCCCTTAAAAGAAAGACCCATTACAAAATGATTGTCTTGGTTACCCTTGATCTTGAGAAATGTTTACTGGATATGGACTTAACCTCCAAAATTTTTGTATGGAGTGGCTGCTCTAAGATGTGAACTCATTTTACCATTGCACCAAACAATGGCCCCTAAGCAAAACCCAAATGAAACACAAGCTTTTTGTGGGGTCATATCACTCCCATATGTTCTTCCAAAAACATCTTATCCTCAAGGTCTGAAATCTGGGAACCTCTAATTAGGCTCAACCTTTTGTTTTGAAGATAAAATAAAACTTTATTAAAGAAAAACACAGGAGTACAAGAAAGGTGGCAAGTAGTCACCTGAAAGAAGAGCACTCCAAAATCCCAAAAACGATCTAACCCAATCCAGAAAACACTAAACCCACAAACACCCAAACCACACCTTAAATGAACAAACAAAGAAGAAAGCCAAGACTTGGAAACCAGCCCCCCTTAATCGTCAACCACCTATTTCACAAACAAAACAATGCCCACCCAAACCAAAAAACATAAAATGACAACTCCCGAACCCTCCACACCTGAAACCACAGAGACAAACTCTCAGCCCCCACCAACCCCCAAACTGAACAGGATCCAGATTACTTTTTTTTATCAGAAAAAATGATTAATTTATTAATGGCAGGTTAAAGTTACAACAGATTGGGGATCCATCCACCTGGATAATACAAATGTCCAAAAACTAAATTACAGAGCCCACAATAACTGCTGCCTCAACACAATCCAGATTACTTGGCTCTTGAAAATCTGGCTGCTGCAAACTTGCTTCCTCTTTTGTTGAATTTTATGATTTTTTCACTTTTTTGACAGGCCCCACATCGAACACACTTCCTCTTATTCTTGCAAAAACTTTCGAAACCAAGAAATTTTGCCGACTTCTTAGTCTCCTACAACACTTTCCAGCAATAACATTCTTCTGAAGGCCATTAACTTCTAAGGCACTCTCGTAACTCCACTCCAATTCCAGCACCGCATTCTTTTCGAAGGTTTTGAATTCCACTCCCTCCACACCTACCCCATCAAGTCCCAACATCCCAAACTTGATACAAATCTCTTTTACCCTAACATTGAACCCCTTCCCATCATCGGACTCCTCCTTTCCGTTCTCTCCCTCTGAACTAAAGGTCTCTTCATTTTCAGAATCATCATTTTCCCTTTGAACTAAAGGTCTTGTTCTATACTTTTGGATCCTGTTAAGACCCATACCATTATCCATTACCTTACTTTCTTCTAACTCTTTTGACTTCTCCCCTGCCAAAGGGAGATCTTTTGTATTAACCACAAGATCCTCCTTCGCCCCTGAAGAATACTGCACAAACACAACTTTGCCCCCTCATTGTAGATCATATCACCATTGAATCCTATTTCCACCCCTTCTTCCCTTCCATCTGACTCGCTTTGAACAACACCAGCCATACTTTCTCTCTCTGTAAACACCCGTCCAAACTCTTCTTACATCTTCCCCATTAATGGTCTTCCTAATTCCTCCCAAGATAGGCAAGGAATCCACTTCCCAAAAAGCCTCCGCATGACACCCACCTTCTTCATGCTTGCTATTCCCTCCCCCTTGCTTAGCCACCGACTCTGTACCTTCTCTTGACACTTCATTCAGAACTCTTTTTTTTCTGAAAGAACCTACCTTTCCACTGCAAGCTCTTCTTTGAGGTTTGCGCCATCCTCTTCTGACGATGTCTCCCCAGTCAAGAGTTTCAATCTATTATGCCCCACTTGTCTCATTCTTTTCCCATTTTTCCAGTGGCTTTATCCATGATAGTGTGCCTGTGTGTCCAAACAATCCTGCAAGGTCATGAACTGAAATATGAACAATCTCTTGGAAATTCTTGGAATTTGGAAAACACTGCAAGTGCCTCTGATCCCAAAATTTGGCATAACAGCCAATTGCACCTTATCAGTGTGAAATTTGAACTTCTTATGAAAAGACAAAAACACCTTTCTCATTCATCTTTGCTAAAATTAATTTCTTATTTTAGAATTTTTTTGTTCTTATGGACACTTTCCCCTTCTGCGTTTATGCAGGTGTATTCTGGAGTAGAGATTAGTGGCATATACCAGGGAAACTTTGCACCATAACCAGATCTATTGCAACTCCACAAGTCAGCAGGTCCCCAGAAGAATAACTGAAGCATCTATATCCCATCTCTAATTCCATCTAAGAGCACCAGTAGGGGGAAAAAAACTAAATAAACTGCTGTATAATTAGCACAAAAATTCCGCTAAATGTTCACAACCACTATTCAAACCATCCTGCTACATTCTTAATTTCTCATCTCCAAAACATCCTCTCAGCTTTGAAAACATGAGCAATCCCATCTATGTTAGCTCTAAGTCTCTCTGCTCTCAACCTTACTATTGCAAAGAAAGACAAGAAAGATTACCCATTCAAGATGACCAGGTTTTTATCTTACTATCTTTTTCAAAGATGATACCATCAATCTCATGAAGAGAACTGGAGAGTTTTTCAACATGATTATAGATAGGAGTGATCAAGGTAGACAAACAGAAATATCGTGTTAACAAAAGAGGAACAAAGTAGGAAAAAAAAGCATACTCTTAGATGTTAGATGATTTTACATTTTTCTTAACCCTCCAAAATAATTTGACAGATCAGACAAGATCAACAGTCTAGGGTTTACCTTCTGGAACCATGGTCCCCAAGACAGATGTTTACATGCAACATATAAATGAGGGACCCACATTCAATGGATCCACCTTTTGGTGAAACCATGACTCCCAAAACTGAGATATTTGACTTTCTAGGGAGTTTTATATAATAGAATTGATTCCACCTTTTTATGGCAACATATGTAGGGGTGAAACCCCAATAATGACTGCAATCACTTTCATCCATATGAAAACACATGCTACCAGGAAAGCTCAATCAAGAGATAAAACAATGAATTGCATTACCATAAGATGGAGAAACAAATTGTAGTTTAGACTTACAGATTCCTGAATCTCCTCTTTAACGATGTAAAATGGATCCTGAGCTGAAGACATATTGTGTGCTGTTACTTCATCCCGAGAAGACTAATAAATTTAGAGCCCATAAACAAAAAGGAATTAAATGCACAACAGCCAATATATGCAACATGGAAACTAAACAAATATGAATATTAATGCTTAGACATCAAGTAGGCAACCAAAGCTTAGACACCAAAAAACAAGAAAATACAGCTTCAGGCATATTATGGTGCTTTAGCTGGTAGTTTGGTTATGGTTGGTTATGGCAGGGAGTAGGGAGAAGTGAATCATATTTGGGTTTCATCCCTCCCCGACTGATTTTATGATAGTACTGTTTGGATGGTGATGTTGGATTCTATGCAATAACCCTTAGATTCCACTTCCACTGTTTAGATGCATGATCCGAACATGTAAATATTCCTCTGTTTAACCGAAAAGTAAAGCATGTAATACCTAATTCAACTGTTCCAAATATTTGTAAGTTGGTTATCTTTCTCTCTCAATATATATATATATATATATATATATATATATGTTTGTAAGTTTCAAAACTATCATGTATCAAAAACCGAGCAGCAATCGTAATTTTGAACAATCAAAACGACTTCAGTACCTCACACTCAAAAACGTGTTTATTCACTGATGAAACCACAGAAAATAAAAGATCTCCTAAGTCTTTCAAAAGAAATGAAAATGAAAGAACCTCTAAGCTGAAAAGAGTTTTCTTAAATAAAAGAGATTCACATTAAAAAATCTAGAGAGGTTACGGAAGCTAAAGAAGATAGAGAGACTCATGGATGTTGAAGCGGTCCAACAGACTCCAGCTGTAACATGTACAAAGAAAAAGTAAGAAAATAAAATAAATTGAGCAAACAAAGTGATCAACAACCCAAACTAGAAACCTCCGGCTATATTTGTTTTTGTTGCTTCCATACTGATCTGATAGACTGATACAGATTGAAACCCACTAATTTTCATCTTTTACAGGAGGCAGTAGGAGAGAACAGAAACGAAGCCTATTCAATCAAGGTTTTACTATTGATCTGAGCGTTTGGTTGATTCGTGAATATGAATAGGATTAGCAAATGAACCCAGAAATAAAAGTGGACATCAAAGACCGGACGAGGAAAAAGGACCGTGAGTTGGGAGAGTATGTTCTGCAATCGAAAGATCAAATAAAATGGAAACCATTAGTTTGGGGTGTAGTCACTCACCGTCGATCCTGGTTGCCCGATACCGGTAATGGAGGATGTGAGAGCTGGGCTTTGCTCCGGGACTAACCTTTGTCTAGGCACTTTCGTCTCAGATTTGCTTTTGAACAGGAGCCCTGGGACCATAGGGAAGTCAGAAATGACAACCCCATGTTTGTTTTTCCGCCAAAACGAGCCCCAAAACACTTTCTTAAAAATCAGTTCGGTGATGTGTGTTTTTCACTTTCGCTGTTTTTCCAAACAAACCCAATTTTGCGATTGCATTGGCATTTCCGTTTCCGTTTCCGTTTCCGACCCACTCAAATCACTACTTAGAAACCTTCCGTTTTTTCTTGAATTTCTGCTCCGAAGAATCACTATTCCAGAGAACAAATCCTGACTAAAAGGTGTAAATCGGGCGGGCTGAGCCGGCACGGCACGACTTAGCGGGCCACCCGTGCTGGCTCGCAGGCCTATGGCACAACCGCACAAGCCCAAGGGACTTGGGCCTAGTCGGGTTGGCCTTTTTTTTGGACATTTCTATTACTTTTTTCATTCTTTGCTAAGTAAAATTTAAAGATGACATACAAATTTTGGGAATAAAAATCTAACAAGGAAACTTAATAAAATACAAATAAACAATAAATTGAAAAGAAAATTTTAAAAATTTTATTTCATTTGAATTTAAACAATCCAATGAATATTGGAAATGGAATAAAATATAAAAATAATATAATAGAATTGAAAATAAAAATTACAGTGGTATTGAAAAAATAACAAATAATTTAAATAAAATTGAAAATTATTACAATAATTTTAAAAATGCTATACAGTTATTGAATATACAAAAAAGAATATTGACTTCAACATTTTCTTCAAGTTCTACCTCCATCTCATTGACCCTAATCTACATCATCTGCTTTTGGTGAAATATTAGGTGAAGTGTCATGCCCTCCTTTATCTTATAGTTCATCCTCATCATCGAGACAACCTTTCAAGTATATGCACATCTCCATACTTTATTATTCATGTAGCTTTTCTTGTCGCATCTAGCACCCTAGTAACTACCATATAAGAAGACTCCAATGGAATTATAGACACTAGAGGGGTTAGTATATCACGTGTCATAAGAACTTGATAAATTTTTTCCATATTCACTACACCAAGCTAAAATATCAAAATTATTTAATTCCTCTAAATTGAAGAATTAAAAATTAATGATGAACTGGCAACAGAACTAGATGTTTAAGAATTGGAAGTTGTACATGTACAAGTTTTGCTATGCTCTAATAATTGAGATTCATATAGACTATACATTTAAAATAATAAATTATTAATTTTCTCTTTTTTAATTCTAATATCAGTATTCATATTTTCATAATAAGATTCAAGTAAAACATTTAAACCATCTTTCGTAATCCTAGGATCTAATATTGTAGCTAAATAATATAGAGGAGAAATATTTTTTAAATTTAACCTCCACTATTTCAATAGTATTACGAAAATTTAATACTTCTATATTTTGCAAAATATTCACTAATCATAAATAAATGGTTAACTAAAATACAAGAAGTCAATAATAAACACCTAGAAATTCATGAGTTGCATCATAAAAAATTTGTAAAAAAATATTTTATACAAATTGTTATTTCCCAGTCATTATCAATTATAAAATCATGTGGCATTTTTTCATTATAAAAATTAGTAAGAATATCTTTGTACGAAATACAACTTTCTAATATATAATAGATGGAATTCCACCTCTATTAGACATTTGATACAAAAAATTTATATTTTAAACCATATTTTTTACATAAATATTTAAATTATTATTTCAAAACTTTAAATATATATAATACAATTTCTAATTTTAGAAATATCATGAAAAATAATATTTAAAGCATCTTGAACACATAAATTTAAGATGTGACATGCACATTTAATATTAAATAATTCACCATTTAACATGGTTTTAATTGAGATTTTAAAATATTTATTGTTGAATCATTATTAGTAGCATTATCAAAACTAATAGAAAAAACTTTATTTTCAATTCCATAAGTATGTAAAGTATTTAAAATACTGGCAACAATTGTTGGCTAGTATGTGGTCATTCAAGTCTACTAAAACTTAAAGAGTTCTCTAGAAGTGTTCTTCAAAGATGAAGAGACTTTACATTAGTCATCATATACTTACACGTCACAACAAAATGGAGTTACAGAAAGGAATAATAGATAGTTACTTGAGACCACTTGTGCTTTAATGATTCAAAGCAAGGTCCCAAAGAAGTTTTGGTCTCATGTTGCTATGACAAACTCTTATCTTGTCAACCGAATGCCATCTAAGGTTTTGGGGATGAGAACTCCTTTTTTTTCTATCATGTGCCCAGAGCAAGTCATGTTCTTTGCCTCTTAAGATTTTTGGTTGTATATGTTTTATTCATATTAATAATCCTAAATAGGCAAAGTTGGATCCAAAGGCAATTTGTAGGGTATTATTGGGTTATTCTCCTTCACAAAAAGGATACAAATGCCTTGATCCAACTACTAGAAAGAAATTCATCACCAAGGATGTCACCTTTTGTGAGTCGCAATCCTTCTTTGAGCCTCCCCGGAATCCTCTTCAGGGGGAGACTAGTGAGTGAAAGAGACTTCCTCAGAGGCTAACCCTTTTTGTTTCATCTCCCACTTCTTCTTCAGACCCTTCTCATGTTGAATCTTCTTCCTCTTATCTAGTGGAGACTACAAATGATGAAAACCCTCCTTGTGGTACTACTCTTTGTCCTAATCTTAATGATGACCTTGATGATGAAAGGTAGCTAAGTGTTTATCAAAGGGAGAGAAAGAGACACCTACAAGTGAATGACTATGACCAATCGGGAACTTCATATTCTGACCAAGGTATTGCTCCTCCCATTACTTCCTCTAATTCTAATTCAGATCTTCCTATTGCCTTGTGGAAATCAGTACATTCATGCACTATTCATCCTATTAATAGATTTTTTTCATATTCTCATTTATCTCCTACCTATTACTCTTTTTGTTAGCATTGTCCTCTATCTATACCCCTTCCAAGTACTCAAAAGTTATTGCTAATCCCAAATGGATAGAAACTATGGATGAGGAAATGAAAGCCTTGTTGAAAATTAACACTTGGGAGCTAATGGATCTATCAGTCAAGAAAAACACTATAGGGTACAAGTGGGTATATACAACCAAACACAAGGTTGATGGTTCCATCGAGAGGTATAAAGCCATATTAGTTGCAAAATGATTCACCTAAAGGGAATGGATTAATTATAAGGAAACATTTGCTCTAGTTACAAAATTGAATACTATACATGTGTTACTCTCTCTTGCAGCAATTTTTTCTTAGGAACTATATTAGTTGATGTTAAGAATGCTTTCTTAAATAGAGATCTACAAGAAGAAATCTACATGGACCTTCCTCCAAACTATGACATGAGAGGAGAGGTATGCAAGCTAAGGAGGACCTTATATGGCCTCAAACAATCTCCAAGGGCTTAGTTTGAAAGATTATGCAAAGCAATGAATGTTGTTAGGTACAAGTAGAGTAGTGTTGATCACGCGTTGTTCTATAAAAAAATGAAGGAAAACTAATAGCATTGATTGTTTATGTTGACAATATGGTTATTACGGGAGATTATTCGAATGAAATTCGAAAGTTGAAACGCTTCTTAGCCTCAAAGATTGAAATCAAAGATATGAGTCCACTAGATCTATAGAGGAAATATACATCTACAAGCATGCATTGAACCTTCTAAAAGAGACAAAGAAGTTAAGAGTCAAACCAACAGACACTCCTATAGAGCAAAATTGTGGGTTGCAGGAGGATGATGGAGAATTTTATCTTAACAAAGAAAGATGTCAGAAATTAGTTGGAAATTGCTTTACTTATCTTTCATAAGACCTGATATTGCATATGCATTTTATGTAGTCAACCAATTTATGCATGTTCCACAAGTTAGGCAGTAAAAAAGATCTTGAGATACTTGATGACATGTCTTGGGAAGGAATTACTGTTTAATAAATGTGACAAAATAGATGTAAAAGCCTATATTGTTGTCGATCAGGCAAGTTCTCATGGGGATAGAAAAGTTTACATTTGGACATTGTACCTTAAGTGGCAATATACTCACTTGGAGGAGCAATAAACAAATAGTTGTTGTAAGATTAACTACCAATGTTGGCCCATAGAGTTGCTGAACTACTTTGGTTTCAAATTCTTCTAAAGGAATTGGAAATAGAAGTAACTAGACATCTAAAATTGTATTGTGATAATCATATTGCGATATACATTGCTAACAACCCAGTCTAGCATGATAGAACAAAACATATTGAAATCGATAAACACTTTGTGCGAGAAAGAATTGTTTCTAGGGACCTCTGCATCTCTTAGATGCCATCTACAAGACAACTAGCTAATGTTCTTACCAAGGGGCTCATCAAGACAAAATTTATGGAACTGTTATACAAGTTGGGTATAAAATATATCTATGCTCATCTTGAGGGGGAGTGTTGTGAAACCTAGTTTGTAGTCTTAGGCCTTAGTAGTTGACTACTATCAGTATATTAGTAGTCAACTATTATCAATATATTGTTGTTAGTAGTTGATTACTATCGGTATATTGTTCCTAGTAGTCGACTACTTAATGAAGAGATTTTCTAGTAGTCAATTACTAGGATACTATTGTAATTTTATCTTTTGTACTTTGATTGCCCTAATATATAACAGAATGGCTAGCACCGCCAGCACACTTTTGAGCCTTTCTCACATTGTTTCTCTATTTTATTCTCTTCTTCTTCTCCTTCTTGGAAAACACACACACATATTCAGTCCAGTCTCGGGTTATTCAAGGGTTTGGACTATGATTGGCTTGAAAAATGGGAAGGCCCAACTTCTAAGGCCCAGGCCCAGGTTGTGCAAAATTGCAAGTCGGGTTAGTCTGGTCTTAGGTTGAGCCCACCCAAGTTGAACCCCTAGACTAGAGGGCTTATACTTTTGACAACTGACACCCTATCTTTATAGGAAAAACCGTCTAAAAATTGTTCTTTTCACTTTCAAAAAGAAGCTTTTTTTTTTCAAAAGACATGTGTCTATCCACTCTTAAAAAGTAATAACAATTAACTCCATTCTAAAAAATTGCTAACTTAAGACATATGGCTACTTATCGAAAAAAAGTTAATAGACTTAAACCTCCCTTAATGTTTCTCCTAAATATTGAAACCCCCCCTCTCTTTTCAAAATGGATTAAGGCCTCCCTTGTTTATTGACATAAGAACTCCCCTTTGTTAATAATCCGTCAAGATCAACATCCATTCATGAGTGAATTAAAAAAAAAAAACCCAACATCCATGCCTTTTCCTTGTGTTTTACGACTTATCAAATTGTTATTTCTTATATTAGAAATTGTGCCACTCTTTGATTCCAAGATTCTTAATGAGTTGTTTTGTTGGGGTTTTCGTCTCCTTTTTTTCTCTATATTTATCTCAAAAAAAGTAAATTGCCGGCTTCATCCTATAGGTTCCGTTTTCCTCCTCATTTGTCATATGATCGAGAAGATTAATCATGGGTAACATGGGCTTTAGTTGCTTTGAATTTTGCTATGGTCCATAAGAAGTTATTTGGTTCATTCTTTTTACCAAACAACAATTGACATTTTCAAACCAATATTGCTCCAAGTTTGATGAAGCTAATGCCCTAATAAATATGCATTACCAAGCAGCAAGAAATTCGATCTTTTGGAAATTCTACAAAAGATGAAAAAATCATCCCAAACATGAAATACTTTTCAAAATAATTGTTTCTCTAAAATGCTTCTAAGATCTTCATCCTATCAATTAGAGTTAAACAACAAATTATTGATTGTTTGGCAAGTACAAAAGACAAGACTAATAGAGTTTGAATCTCTAATTAAAAATGGATTGTCGCCTTCGGTTTCATACTAAAAAATTTAAAAACTCTAGTTTGAGAGAACGAGCGTCATCGATCCAATCTTCACTCTTGTGATAAGTTCAGATTTTCAGGAATCCAATGGGAGGATTAATTAAAAATGAGACCAACACAGCAAAACATAATAGTAAGAAACAAAAGGAGAGTTTTCTTGTGATAAGTAGTTTGAGAGAACGAGCGTCATTGATCAAATCTTCACTCTTGTGATGAGTTCAAATTTTAAGGAATACAATGGTAGGATGAATTAAAAATGAGACTTAACACACGGCAAAACATAGTAGTAAGAAGAAAAAGGAGAGTTTTCTTCCGATCTCCATCATCAGTTCATCACCACCTCAAACACCTTCTCCATGATGAAGCTAATCAACTTGTTGAAAATGCTTCAGGAGGGGAGTTTTCTTATAGGGATCTACCATCCCTTCCTGTTTCCTTCGGTACAGTTTCAGTGGTTTTCTTTAAAAATTGAAAGAATAATAAAGGATAAAAAGGTCTTTTGATTTATTTTGGTAATAAGAACAATATCTTATTCTAACAAGGGAGGTTCAAATCCTCTAATAAATTAGGGAGGAGCTCAGGGGAGGTTTAAGTCTATTATCCAAATAAAGCACCCATTTCAAAATATGTGGGATCTATATTAATCTTTATAATTTAATTTTTTGATTCAAATAAAAGAGTCGTTATAAAGACATTCAATGGTCTGAGTCTCATTCTTTTAGATAAAATATGTTATCAATTATAAACCTTATTTATCACTTATGCAAATAAAAACAACTAACATAAATTGATAATGATGGCAAGAAAGATCAGAATAATGACCTCATAGTACAGTGATATTATCTAGTTTATTATGAAAGCAAAATTGTGATTAGGAGTTCCTTACTTTGAACCAAATAGGCAAAGACATGTGGTTATATTTGTTCTGAATTTTTATGAACAAAAGCACCCTAGACATTGTTTTTGTTTTCTAAAATGATTGATGTTATTCTTGTAAATTCATTTACTTATTCCTTTCTTTGAAGTGAAACAAAGACTAAACTTGTCCCCTTAAATTTGATGAATACCAACTGATTGGTAATAAGTCTTTTTAGATATGATGTCTTTCAGTTATCATACCGCAATGATTTCATAAGTTTTCTCATACTTTTTATCTATAATATTTTATTATATATAAAAAAAAGTTCAATTATGATACCGGAAAAACTTATAACCAATCAATCGGAATCAAAATCATAAAAGTGATAACCAATCATGTATTTTTTCACCTATATAAAACATAGGGTTTTGTAGGTCGAGCCTATGATTATATTTTAACCATCTGATTTATGTCTTGTTCTCAATATTTTTAATGGAGTCAGCATTTTTTGTGTCTGGCAGCTGGTTCTATCCGCTAACCAACAACTTGGTGCTCTCTATTCTCTAAGAAAATGAAAATGAAAAACACCGTGTAAGCTACCCATTGTGGTTATTTTCTGTTTTTATTATTTTGATTGTCATTGATAATGATTTTCTACCAAAAGACGCTGAAATGCAATGTGTAATCAAGGCTTTGGTTTTAAATTATGGCTGAGTTTGGCAAGATTACAAATAAAAATATATACAACACAAAGGCTCAGTTTTGGAAAAGTATAAATACAAATATGCACACAATTTGTACTGTACATATTTATATTTGTACTCTTTTCAAATTGAGACTATATTTATTTTATTATTATTATTATTATTATTATTATTATTATTATTATTTTGGCTTCGTGAGGCTATATAATGGTAAGCGTGCTCATGGTTTAACCAAACTGTGAGCTCTTTTTGAAACCGAATTGGTACACCAGTTCTTGAAAGACCATGCACGAACCAAAACCAATTTATTATAAATAAATAAATATGTACTATAAATACTATATATATATATATATATATTATAATACACTATAAATAGATAAATAGATAAATATAATATATTTATATGATGCATATAAATTCATATATATGTATTAAAAATATATCGATTAACTGTCATTTTTTTTTAGGTTAACCAAAATAACCGAACTGGTCAATTATCAAAAAATAATAATAATAACCGAACTGGTACTGGTACGAATGGCTTTTGAAAAACACCCCACCAATTGGTCTGTTTAACCAGATCCTTTGATTCAACTTATTCTGTTCAATATGAATTTTTGGATTTGGATTGGATCCAGTTGCATCTACATCTGCATCCAATTAACAAACCTCATTTTGGATTGAATTCAAATTTAATCTACAATCATCTTATTATGTTTATAATGACCAAAAAAATTGGTTATTCACTTATTCTTTAACTTATATATGTATAATAAATGTCTATTAATATAAAATATTAACTTTATCAATTATAAATTTAATACAACTATATATATAATAAATTTTTAGATAAAATTAAATCTACACCCAATTGAATTATTAATCACATAAAAGCTTTAACATTCAAATCTAGGATAATCAGATTAGGAATCCAATTGGGTATTGGGACTTTTAGAGTCCATTGACAGCCCCCTTGGGGTAGCCCATCCGCATACGCTTGACTCCCCCAACCCAACTGCAACTTATATTACAACCAGAAGAGAACCTACAAACTTTTTTTTGGTTGCAACTTAATTAGGCATTCTTTTTTTATGGCCCTAAGTGGCATTCTTTGAACAACAGCCTCTCATTTCTAAAAAACTTGCTTTTAAGATATGAGTGGTGTTCGGTTTAAGGGTAGAAGACTTAAGGGCAATTTTCTTAAAGCACCCTTATGGTTTAGGAAATTAACTAAGTCAATCCTAACTGTTTACATATTGTCTTAAAGTATTTTTAAGCTTTCTGACAATTAGCATCATCGTTAAGCACTAACAGAAAAAATGAAATGTCAATTTTTCCTTCCAATATTCCTCAAATTTTCAAAATAAAACCCAGCTGATGAAAATTTTCAGAAAAAGAAAGGGTGATGAAAATTTTTAGATAAAATCCAACTGATTCTACCCATCGACAAAAGCAGGACTTGAATGTGATACTAACACAACCCAACACAAGCAATAAAGGCACACTCCCTTCTTTTGCTTCTTCTTCGCTAGTAGCTTTTATTCTGTATAGCTGCTCCATCAGAGATGAAAAAGAATGGCTGCAGAAGATGGTCATGATCATCGACTTTCCAAAATTGCTTCTTCAATCGAGTAATCTCAGACTTTCCTAAACCAGTTTTTCAGAAAGACTTAAATATACCATGAGTTTTTAAAACATACCCTGAATTTTTCAAACTCATATGGGTGGTGGGTATGGCAGAGATGCTATGAGACAATATTCAACCAAAATTCAGGCTAGAAGACGTGATGAGTGGTGATGCCCCATATAGACCGAACTTCTAAGCAAGGTTCAAAATATTAATACATATCAGCCGATATGTATCATGCCAATGGCTTACCGATATGCCCTCCAAGGGTATCAGGTCAGCCACCGGTTCAGAGGGTAGTCGGGCCTTAAACCGACCCCTCTGAACCAGTTTCAAGAAAAAAAATAAAACTTAATTTACCAATACAGGGCACATCGGCCGGTGTCGATATTTAGAACCTTACTTCCAAGTAATAAGCATATCCATTATCCCATGTAACTCTAGTCCATACACCAAAATCTGATTAATTATAAGTTTTTTTGTTGATTTGCAGGGAAACACAGAACATAGAATGAGTTGCTAAAACAAGTGCACGGCAGCAAAAGGTTAAAACAGCCCATATAATAGATTGCCTGGCTTTCTAGGTTGAATCGTCTTTCACAGTCCGTGTATGTTTAACCTAAGCTCAGGTATGCTTAAATCTTTAACAGCCAACATAACAATAATGCCGATAACTAAGGGTGTAAATCTTTAAAATTGAACCAGTTTGTGATTGTTAGACCACTCCCCCCCCCCTCTCTCTCTACCAGTCCGGTGGCCTTTTTTTCCTCTTCTTTCCTCCCATGTTCTTCCTCCTTCGGACCAAAAGGCCAAAATAGGATTTTTCCTAACTTTAAATGCCTTCACATGTGCCTTTTCATTGATGGAGGGTTTGATTTAAGTCCAATAGGATTAGCGCACAAGGTCAATTTATGAAAACTCAAGGTACGTTCAAGTCTTTTAACCTTAGTCTAAACTTTAAACATTCAAAACACATCTCTGAAATCAAAACGCAGTTCAAGCTCACGAAGGAGCTCTCAACCAACTTAGGGGGTGTTCGACAGCATGGTTGATTTTGTTTTTTCTCAAAGGCAAATAAACCTTATGAGATACAAGCTCACTGAAAAGGAAAAATAAATAAAAAGAACACTAAAATCCAACACATTACTACACTTACCCCATAATCAAAGGCAAATTACATCATACAAATTCCTAACAAGTGCGATCAAAGATTCATGAATTGATGCTAAGCCTCAATCTTTTGAGTCAAGGCCTCAACCTCTGCAATGATAGTTCGGGCTTCCTCAATTTCTGCACCTTGCTGATTGGTTTCCTCCAGTTCCGCCTGCAAGGGGAAAAACATCTTTTAGAAAGGTGCACAAATAGCAATTAAGAGATTCTTTGAGTTTTTTTCAATTATCTAATTTTTGTTTCCAATGTTAAGAATGTAAGCTATGAAATTCATGCAATTGAAAGCATGTTCATTTTAGACTTCTCCAAAAAAAAAAAGCATATTGGTTTTAGCAATCATATATTGTTATTGTTTACATCAATATGGCACGAAGTTCAAACTTGAAAAGCATTGTATTTTGGGATGTAATAGCATTGCAAGTTTCAAGACATTCAATTTGCCAAATTATCAGCAGAATCCAGCACTAATTGAAAAACTATAAACCTAAAATTATAGATTTGCCCAAGAGTCCATATAAGCAATACCAAAGCTCCTTTTAGATCAACTAGTGAGGCCTCCAAACGCTTGTGACAATCGGGAATCATCATTCTTGACTCGGCCAACACGTTCTCCTGTTCAAAAAATTGTAACAAAAGAGAAAGGTAATTAATTAGGCACAACTTACATCTTAATTGTTGACAACAAAGACATCAAGTATGCATGAAGAACCAAAAAAAGGAAAAAAATAGGAAAAAGAAAGAGAAAGAAAATCCCCTTAACCAAAAGAAGCAACATTGTAACCAGGAAATGCAGGAGAAGTCTGGTCCCCTACTGCATTTAGTCAACTGGATAGGCTAATAGCACAACATAAGGAGTAGCAAGAGGTGGCTAGATGGAGTCATGAGACAGGGCATAGATTGGGAGGCTCCAGGACCTGGGGAAAATACTTAAGCTGTTTTTATACGTGAAATTTCGAGCTATATATGTCAGCCTTAGGATGTTTGTAATTGTTCCATATTTATCAATATCAGGGTTTCTCTATATTTTCTCCATTATTAATAAAATTCTTTTGCTAATTGTTATTGATAAAAATAGGAGGTAGGTGGTTGATTCCTCATCTTTAGGCTATGTTTGGTTTTAAGGAAAATGTAGGGAAAGGAAGGGAAAGGTAAGGAAGCCTTTACAAATCTTGTATAGGTTTCCTTACCTTTCCCTTCTTTTCCCCACCTTTTCCTTCAAACCAAACATAGCCTTAAGGCACATAATGCACATGTGGTTAGAGATGAACAAGCATCCAAACTTCATTGGTTGCAACAAGTCACTTGTGTCCACAAAAATCTTTCCAAAAGAAGAACCAAACTCCAGGTGGAATGCATGAGACCGAAGCTTCACCCAGTGTCGTGAATAGATGGAGATGGGTACACCTCTCTTAGAGACTCAAGAAGAGCAGGCAATTTCATCCAATGCTTGTCCCCTGGAGGTCTGTGGAAGTTAAAGTCAGAAGATGGCCGCATGGTCCACTCAAGAGGACAAGAATGCTTGTCCCCTGGAGGTTTGCTAGTAAGGTCATTCAGTAAATGAGACTAAATGACCCAGAAAACTTCTAGGTGGCAAGTTGGTTTGGGGTCAGTAGGAGTCTCCCCAATTCCTCTCCTCATCCTTATTTGAAGAATAAAATTTTGGCCTAAAGATCTCACAACTTCTGGTGATCTCTTTAATTTAAAAGAAAATAAGAAAGCTTATTAATTGAACAAAACTCCACTCCAAATTGGAATTGGCTGATGTGGATCGTTGACCACATGATTCAATACATGACCAATCAAAGAGGGCCCCCATCTGATGAAAGGTCTGGAATGGCCAAGATTCCCCTTGATTGGTAGAGTGGGTAGTGTAGTGAAGCTTCCTATTTGACCCAAATAAGAAACTTGTTAGTAAGCTAAAAAGAACGGCTATACACTATTTCATGATTCCGACAAATGGATAAAAAACCATAACAGCCCTATATTTCAGGATTTATGGAAAGTATTCTACCAAAATAAATATCATAAGAAATCCTATAAAACACCCTATTCACTCCTGTCCAAGAGGTAATTCTGTTCCTCGACTAAGTGAACAGCCCATCTTCTGTTTCAGCTTTGTTTTCAAAAGTTCTAGAATTCCCTTCCCATCAGCAAGATCCCCAAAAAAAAGCAGATGAGGAAATCTTTCATATATTCTTTCCTTCTTTCTTAAGATCATTGAGTTTCCAACACTTGATAAAACCTTCCACAGATTCCAGATTACACCCAACCACCCCAAAAATGCTTTCCATCCACTGCCATAGGATTTCAGCAGCCTTGCAATGGATGAAAAGACGGATAGAGCTTTCCATAGCTGCACTGCAAATACAGCAGATACCATTTGGTCAACCCAATGCCTCTCCTAACCAGAATTTCTTTGGTTAAACATGAGTTAAGAGCTTCTGACCACACCATGAAAGAGACTTTTGAAGGCACATGAGCATGCAAAATTAAATCTGCTGGGAAGGAACCTGCCTCCACCCCTACCACCATGGAATAGAAAGATCTCACAGAGAACACTCCTGACTTCTCCCCTCTCTATAATCTTTTATCTCCTTGAGAGGGTTCATTGCAATCCTATTCAATATTTGAAAAGGATCCATCAACTCAGGAAGCTCCCATTCATTTAACTTTTTTTTTAGAAACAGGCCTAGAGGAAAGATTATTATTTAATATTTCATAGTTGTCTCTTACAAGCGCATTCCTGCTCTTTGCAATTCTGTACAGCTGGGAAAATCTATCCATCAAGGAGCCACTGTCACACCAAATGTCAGACCAAAATCTGACTCTAATTCTATCCCAACCTTAAGCCTTATCTCTTTAGAGAAAATTCTGCATGTGCTTTATCAATTCCACTCCAAAGTGCACAGCCATAAGAGGTCACCTCTCTAGTTTTACACCGCAATGCATTCCTATACTTGGATTCTATCGCCACCATCCAAAGACCTCCATTCTGATCCCCAAATTTCCACAGCCACTTAACAAGAAGAGAAATGTTCACTTCCTCAATCCTTCTTATCCTCAAACCCCCATCAGCTTTAGGCCTGCAGATTTTTTCCCTACTAACTTGATGAATCTTAGAGTCCTTCCAACCACTCCATAGAAAGGTCCCCATCTTCCTCTCCACTCTTCACCACCTTGGATGGAAATTGAATAAGAAATAAAGAAAGATAGTAGGTCAGCAAGGAAGACAGAAACTTTTGATTGGAGTTACTTTCCCACGCCTTGATAAATACTTAGAATTCTAAGAAGATAACCTCTTATCAATTCTTTCCAAAACAGGGTCCCAAATAGATCTTCAAATACACTTTGCTCCAAGAGGGAGACCAAGATACTTGGTGGGCACCTGACCAATTCTGCAAACCAAGATTTCAGCCAACTCATGAAGCTACACCCCCTGCCCCACAGCTATAATCTCGCTTTTGTTCAAAATAACTTTCAAACTTGAAACTATTTCAAATCAAATCAACATCCCACAGGTTTGCCAGCTCTTCTTTAGAATTATTGCATAGAAATAGAGTGTCATTGGAAAATTTTAACAAGGCCACTCATTCATCAAAAAAAAATTTAACAAGGCCACTTCCCCATCCATTTTAAAACCATGCAACAATTGCCTTCCACCCTCTTCTGGATCATCAAACTCAAGGCTTTGGTGATGTAAATAAATAAGAAAAGGGACAGTAGATCCCCTTGCCTTGCACCCCTTGATCTCATAAAGGATCCATATGTGCTCATACTAATAAAAATAGAAAAGAGGGAAGCAATAATACTCTTGGTATAAAAAAAGGCTATTCTCGATCTTTATATTCTCTCTTCTCCATAAGGACACTGGTAATATTTTTCTTAATTTCCTCTCTTCTCTACAAGGATATTGACAAAATCTACTTCGGAGGTTGAGCTGTATTACATGATTATATCATCTTATCAGCATTTTCTATCATTACCACGATAAATGAATACATTCTGAAAAGAATAAGAGGGTATAACCCTTCCATTTATGATATGAATAAGGACAAGCAACAACCAGCATATGATATAAACAGAATAACTTTACAAAATCAAATTACAGCCTACCCTAGAGTTTATAATCTATAATCTCTAAAAAGATTGTGTAACTTGGAAAACAATTTAGCTCTCCTAACCCCTTCTTCAACAAGCCTACATTCACCAAGTTAGCCAATCTTGGATCCATTTGAAATAGCTGTTATGATGGAAATTCTTCAGGTTAAGTACCTGATATGCATAACTACTGATAAGGATGGATTTGGCTATCCCTTTTTTTTTTTTTTTGATAATCTGGATATGTAAAAACATGATACATTTATTATCAGATTGAATTTGAATATGCTCGATTTTATCCAATAAAATTCAATCAATTGCAACTTGGGTGACCAAGGTTCAAATCTTAGAAACAGCCTCTCTGTATGTACAGGGATAAGGCTATGCACATTTGTCACTCTCCCCAGACCCCACATTGGAGAGAGCCTCATGCACCGGGCTGCCTTTTTTATAGCATAATTTTTTTTTATATATTAACAATATATATTCATATTTAGGACAAGATTACCCTTCTTGAAATATATCACTACATAGGAGTGATCATTACTAGCCTAGCTAGGCCTGGACCTAGATAGTGTTGCATGGACTTGGACATAGGAATTGGAATCCAACATGTGTTCAGAGTATGAGTTGGTGAGCCAAAAGAAGTTTCATTAACACATCTCACATAACAATAACAACAACAACAATAACAGTAAAAATAATAATAATATATTAAATAATATTGTTCTTAAAATTCATAAATTATATGAGCATAACTGGAATAGCTAAATTACAATTTATGAATTGATAAGTTCAACTCACAGCCTTTGTCCGTTTACAATGTGGCACAGAAGTTGTCTTTCATCATTTTTCTAATTTCATGGTCTAATGTAAATTAGAAAGCATCCAATAAACAATGAGTTATGGGTCTTAAGTTATGTATTAACAGGGGAAATTCAAAGATTAGGGACCTGAAGGTTTCTGTATTAAGTCCCAAACAGAATTTTCAATTCTTTCTATGATCTTCCTTGGCACTCAAAATACCAAGAGGTAATATACCAAACGAATTTTTCAATTCTTTTCATTGTTGCACTACATTTCTTATCAGTAGGAAATGATTTTATTAATGTAACTTTAAGTTTACAAGAAGATGGGTGTAGGATCCACCCCATCAATACAAAGACTTTATAGTTCTGCCCAAAACAAATGTTGTCTTACAGCCCCTTGTTTGGCTAGAGAATATGCCAGTCCATTTGTTGTCCTTCTCACCCGTTTAGGCCTTGTTTGCTTTTCGGGAAGTTACTTACCTGGGTAAGTATTTTGCCTTCGACCTGAACAATTGAACTGGTGACCCAAAAAATGGAGACCAAAATGGTTCCGTTTCCAGGTCAGTTTTTAAAACCTTGTCCTTTCCTCCTCTCCTCTTCCTCTATGTGACACACTCATTTGCCACGAGAAACTGATCAACAATTTGCCTACCCTCTACAAAGGCCCCTTGGAAAGGTGAGATCACTGTAGGAAGAACCTTCTTTATTCTAAACTTATCGGTCTATAATGTTTTGAGGTTCAAGCTTCCTTCTTCTTGGGGACGAAGGCAATGAAAGTGGAATTAGTTCCATAGAAATTTTCCCATTTTGGTGAAACTCATCAAACACTTCTTTCAAGTACTTTAGAATCTCCCAACAATCCTGATAAAAGGACAAGGTAAACCCATTCGGCCCTAGGGCTTTTGATGTATCCATGAATAAAACAACCTATTTAATCTCCTCAATACTGAAATTGCTCTCTAAGCCTGTCGATTGAATATTTGTCACCCGGGTCCAATCCAATTCTAGGAGATTTTGCCTTCTCCCCTCCGTCTTGGACAAGATACTCCTGAAATGTTCCACAAACACCTTTACTATTCCTCCTCCCTTTGGAGTTCCTGTCCATTTCCTTCTAGTATCTTCTATTATTCCACTGCATTGCCCATGCAATTATTAACCTAAAATGTCTTTGCTTATTGAACTGATCAGCATCATTTTGTTTGGAGTTCTTTTTTTAACATTCCTCTTTCTTGTAGTCTGTTGACAAGGAAAAATCCTGTTATGCAAGAGAAGATTTTTGGCCTACTCACAAATAGGAAAAGATGACTTAAAAATTCCCCTGTTCAATAAATATCTGCATTGAGGAATAAGAAGTGATTTGTTGCAAGTTGGAGGGGCTAGAAGGGCTAAGGGAAGACCAAAAAGGACAGATAAAAGAAGTGAAAAATGATTTAAGTGCCAATAATTTAACAATGCATATGGCATTAAACAGAACAGAATGGCAAAACATGATTCATGTAGCCAACCTCATATAGTTGGGATAAGAGCTTGGATGATGATGATGATGATGATGACAACGACGGCGATGATGATGATTGGTATTTTGGTACTGGAAATACCAACAGTCATAAACTACAAAACCATTAGTTGCTTAACCCTGCAGATATGAACTGCAGCAGCAACTTCTTCTGCAAATTAATATTTTTAAATTTTGTTGAATAATGGGATAGTGGGAGTTGAAAATATAGGTTGTGGCCCACATGATCTAGAAAAACAGGATGGTAACATCTAAGGGTGGGATACTTAGGGCCTGTTCGTTTCCTCTTAACTCTTATCTCTTAAGAGGAATCTTTTAACTTTAAGAGAAAAATGGTTGTTCGTTTCCTCTTATCTCTTATCTCTTAAAATGCAATCATACAACTTTTTGTTTTCCAATGATACCCCAAAAAAGACAAACAAAAACTTTCATATATGGAGTCAAAATGGATATTTGATAATTATCAAAATGCAGAACAACATTCTCTGCATTCAGAGTTCAGAGGAAAGAAAAGTTCACCAATACCAATATACCTCCTAATGTAATTATTGCAATTTCAGATGTCAGACTTCAGAACAAACGAACAGGCCCTTAGGCATAGAGCAATATTTGCTTCATTCGGTAGCACAAAAGATATGTATTAGGCCTAGACAAAAAAGTTCCCAAGTGATCACCACTGAGGACCTCATCAGAGATGGTTAAAAAGAATGATCAGAAGGGTATGTTCAATATCATCGCATTTTTCTATAATTTAGGGCATTTATATGATTAGTTTGTGGCTGAAGGATTATTTCCTTTCTTGACGTTTGCACTTGTTGGATTTGTGGATCTTCATGGGTGCTCAACACACTGGAGTTTGTAGATTTAAACTTAAAATTGGATAAGATCCCTGGTGCCTAAATATGGGCAGTCATGGATCATGTCCTAAACATTCTGGGTATCAATAACAATTAACAAGTAAATTTACAGAGAATCAAGGGTTGTGGGGAAGAACAGTGAACAATTAAATTAATAAGAATTCTCAACTTAGAAAATGAGCCAAAGAGGTTGAATACAAGACCCAATTATGCAGAACTGCTAAATAAACATTTGCTCTACTAAAAAAGCTCAGGATGACATCTCAAAAAAATGGGAGAATATAGACCATACCTGTTGCTTAAGATCATAGGGGTCAGCTCCTTTTTCCTTCATGTCAACAGTCTTGGCTGCTTCTCTCTCAACCTCCCTTTCATAAGAATGGAGCTCTTTAACTATCCGTTTGCAAGTACTGGTTTTGATCTTCAGGTTCCTAAGGGTTGCCATGCCGACCTGCAATGAAGGAACATCTTCCCTCTTCGGTTAACATTGTATTGATAATTTTTGAAATCTAAAGCAACCACAGTAGTATTTGATACCCAACAGAAAACCCTAGATATGCTCTTAGATCAAGGAGAGAAATCTATAAAGCAGTATCCTTTTTGCTTGACCAGAGAAATCTACCTGTGGAATGGTAGGGTGCAGGCTATACCAGTAGGGCCCAAATCTGCAGGTAACAAACGCTAGCAACATTTTAATGCATTGCCACGTGTCTTAAACAAAAAGTTCTCATACATGTGGATTCTGGCTGTCTGATTTTTTTTCTCAGTTTGTCTCCAGATCGGATCTACTCCTCACAAAGCACGCCTCACACCAACCTCACAAGGCATCTCAGGCGTGCATTGAGAACAAAATTATATATCCTCTGTTCAGTTTCTCATTGTACAGGGGTTTCGTTGTATTTTGTCTTTTTGAATTTAATGAATTACTTTACCTTACAGTTTCAAAACAAAAAAAAAAAAAACAAGAGACATTTTGGTGGCAGATATTTCCCCAGAAAACTTGGCAATATTTTTTTTTCTTTTTCTTTTTGAATTGAACAGTCAATTGGCAAGAATCTTTTAAGCCACACATTCAACTTCATAATTAACCATGAAATACTCTTATCAATTAAAGCCTTGTGATAGAATGTAGCAGATATTTCTCCAAAGACCAATAACCACTCACAATAAAACAAAATTACATCCGGCCATTCTTCTCTAAAATGGAGCACAACAAATTCTTCCACAGGAACTAGTAGCTATTTACAATAAGACAAGATCCAGAATAAGTATTTATCTTATTATTCTTCTTTGAAATCTCATTTGTTTGTTTCTTTTTTTTTTTTATTAATACTCATTTGTTTGTTTCTATTAAAACAGAATTCAAGACTTCAAGGGGAAGGACAGTGGAAACTACAAAGGCTTTTATTAGATGAAAGCTTTTAAGCATGCATTTTGAAAACAAGGATTCTGATTCCTGAATTTTTCCTTCCTCTAAAGAAATAGGAAATGAATGGAAGAATGTTTTGAGGAAAGTCCAAAGTTATCTAAGATCCAACAAGAGTTTTTCTGAGAGTTCGAAGCAAAAAGGAAAGAAAGAAAAAGAATATTCAGATTTAGTCTCTGATGTGGCATATAAAGGGAAAAGGAAATCATCACCATCATCATCATCTAAGCCTTGTCCCAACTATATGGGGTTGGCTCCATAAATCCTATTTTTCCATTCCATTCTGTTTAGTGCCATATCCATTGCTAAATTATGAGTGCTTAGATCATTTCTTATTACTTCAACCCATGTCCTTTTTGGTCTGCCCCTAGGCAAGAAGGGCCCCTTTATGCCTTCAACCTGCACTTGATTGCTTCTCCTTACAGGTGTTGTAGATGGTCTACCATGCACATGACTAGACTATCTAAGTCTACTTTCTCTCATTTTATCACCTATTGGAGCTACCCGTAGGTTCCTTTGAATAATTTCATTTCTTTTTTTTTTCTTTTTGATCAATAATTGAATTGGATTCATTATTTTCAATAAAATAAGAAAGAGGTACAAAGATTTTTTTGAATAAATTCATTTCTGACTCTAACCTTTCTATTTTTTCCACTTATCCATCTCAATATACATATTTCTGCCACACTCAGCTTCATATAACATTGCTGATCTTACAACTGTTTCATATATAATTTTCCTTTTAGACTAAGTGGTATCACCTATCACATAAGACTTAATATGAGCCCCTCCATTTTGCCCATCCTACTTTAACCAACTGAGCTACTCTAGCAAGCTATAAAGAGAAAAGGAATAAAAACCAATTAGGCTATCAGGATGTAACTTTTTCATTTTACCTTCAAAAAAAGGAATAAAAACCAAACAGTTAAGCTTTTTCAGGAGTAGAAATCCTTGGAAGAACCAAGACCATTAGGAGTGCAGTGTTGTAGGTGTAGATATGGGGGAAAGTGAGATCCTTGCGTGTGCAAACATTTTGGAATGTGCAGTGTTGACTTGGCCTTTGAATTACCTTGGTCTTCCTCTAGGAGATAATCCTTAAAAAGGAAGTTGTTGGATTCCAGTTGTAGAGAGGTTTGAAAAGAGACTTGCATCTTGGAAGAAAAATTAACTATCTCTTGGAGGAAGAATCACCCTAATTAGGTCTACTTTAGCTAACCTGCCTACCCATATATTACCTGTCGGTCTTTAAGATGCCTACAGGGGTGGCTAATGAAAGACTTCCTTTAGGAGCTAGGGGAGGAGAAAAATGACCATAGGGTTGGGTGGGAGGAGGTGTGTAGGAGTAAGCAAGATGGAGGCGTATTGGGAATATAAGAAAGAGAAATTTGGCTCTACTAGGGAAATGGTTGTGGAGATTTTCATTGGAAAAGGAAAAACTATGGGCTAAGATGATATGTAGTATTCACGGGCTTGCGGAGAATGGATGGGATTCTGAGATTCTAGCTACGACTACAAGGGCTTCACCCAGGAAAGCAATCCAAGCTATTCTGCCTTTATTTTCTCCTTGGATCAGGTATGACTTGTACTCAGGTAATCTCATTAAGATTTGGGATCATGTTTGGGTTGTGGATTCTCCTTTGAAAGACCAATTTCCGGCCCTCTTTGCTATCTCCACCTTCAAAAATGAACTAGTTGCAACCTTCCTTGTACCCTCGAACTCAACCTCTGGTTTGAATGGAACTTGGGTTTCACAAGAGACCTCAGGGACACAAAAGCAAGTGAGTTTGGTTACCACTTACTAACATCCTGTCATTTTGCAAAAAAAAAAAAAAAAATGTTTGGGAATGGTTTGCTTCTTTGTTTGGGTGCAGGTGGACTTCTCCAATGAAAGTGCAAAGCTTGTTTACTTCCTCTTCTTTCAATTGCCCAACAAAAAGGTCAAGGATCATGTGGAGATGTGTTAGAGCTGCTATTTGTTGGACTATATGGGAAGAAAGAAACTCAAGGATTTTTTCAAAAAAATGAGAGAAGTCTAGAAACGATGCTAGAAGCGATCCATATAAGGGTAATACATTGGTTGAAAATAGTGGATTTGTTCACAGATTTTTCAACGGATGATCTGTTAAGAAAATAGAAGTGAACCATATAAGTCTGGAAACTGTCCTATAATTCTAGCATCATTTTCCCTCCATGGACCCTAATATTCATTTTGTACCGATTCTTCAATCTGAAAATGAAAAGAAATATACTCCATAACCTTATCTATAACTAAAAACCTAGGATTTTTAAGAATATCGATCCAATTAGCTCAATTGTCCTAGATCAACTATCCAACTTCAGTTATAAGAGTTCTAACCAAGAACCCTCGTACTGAAAGAGGATTTCAACTTGTTGATTACATTTATGTAATGCAACCGCAAAATTTTGGTATCTGAAAAAGGAAACCACATCCAGCCATGGAAGCCAACAAACCATAGGACTCCCCCAGCCTGGGGCATAAGTTCTAAAGTGTTTGAAAATTATATCTTTCTTAATTGGTCATAACCGAAATGAAATAAATATTAGATTGTAGCCCATTTTAGTGAACCTTCTGCTCCAAGTGGTTAGAGTAATCGGCCTTTTTGATTCTTTAGCAATTCCTCAAGTTCAAAAACCAAAACCATATAACCATTTCAAGAGAGAATGAGAAGGATAAACAAAACGTCCCATGAAGAATTAATTGCAGGATGTGTACTTTCCTAATAGAGAAATTATTTTGAATCAAAGACCAATGAGAAAGATCAAAAGAAACTTTTGCTGAGAACCCAGTAAGAAACAGATACGAAAGATTTAAAAAAAAAAAAAGGCTTAAGTGGGTTGTCAGATGTGTGTCACAATTATAAGAATTTTGCTCGCTAAGAAGTTGCAGAGATTAAAACAATGAGAAAAAACGGTTCTTATGGCTGGGTAGGGACATAGAGATTCAGTACAGCTGGGTGAAGAGGAGTGCCAATTCATTTGCGGATGGGTTGGCCAAGCAAGGAGTGAATAGGGGGGCTGTTTTTTGGACTAGTTTTTAATTTTCTTTGCTTTCCCTGTGCTTTCTGTTTTTTTGGGGAGCTAAGTTATTTTATCTCCCTTTGTATTCTTTTCCCTCTATTCTCTTAATTTAATGAAATTGATGTTATTGATCAAAAAAAAAAAAAAAGAAGTTGCAGAGATTACTATTAAGATGCATATTAGTCAGAAACGATTAAACCAAAACAACAAAATAGGAAGAAATAAACAAATATGGCAAGCTCCCAGAGTATCTGGGCAATGTTGTAGATATGTTGTAAACCTCCCAGAGTATCTGGCAAGCTCGAGTTCGGCCAATGCCGAAGATATGTTGCAGAGAGTACTTGCTCCACTTGTTGCCTGGGATTTCAATGCCCTCAAAAAATAAACAAACCCTAGAGACGACGAAGAGAAAATGGAGGAAAAGCCATGGCCATTAAGCCATTTATTCTCCCAATCTCCCTGTTTATCTCGTTCTCCGCCATGGCAAGACCTTAAGCCATTTCTTCTCCAATCTTCCTATCTGTCTCGTTCTATGTCATGGTGTGAGCGTCGAAAAATGGCTCACTCCGAGAACCACATCAAAACTCATTTGGGTTCAACATTGACTCCAAGACCTAAGGCAACAGTCCAACCAATCCGGATAAGACTAGGATGGAAGAGGTAAGGGGTTAGGCACCCCTCTCCCAGCCTGGGTCCAAATAGGGGGAGCCCACATAGGACTCCAAGAAGGCACAAATAAACAATAAAAAAGATAAGAACAAAACATTAAAACAAGCTAACACACAAAGGAATCTACTATATCAATTTTTATTATTTCATTTATTGTATATATTTTGTTCTTTTATTTTTTATTTACTTTTTTTGTTTTTTAATTATTTATTTACTATTTTTTATTTTAGCAATTATTAATTTTTTATTTTCTTATGCAACCCTATGTACATATTTATTTTATGAAATTATTACTTTTTATTTGTTTATATTTTCTATTTTTTAATCTTTTATATATTTGTTACTTTTTTACTTTCCTTCTAATTTTTTACTATATATATATATATATATATATATATTTTTCATTTCATTATTTTATTATTATCTTCCTTATTTGCCAATTAAACTCACTATCACGGATTTTTTTATTTTCTTTTTTTCTTTTGTTTTTATATTTTTTTCTATCTCTGTTATCAACACCCACTTTCCCCCTAATTTGATCTACCAGCAGATAAACTGTCTTCTCAACCATTACAATTCCCTCATCTCCCTTTTCTTATTTTCCTTACTATTTAAATGTTTATTCCTTCATTTTTTTTTGTCAACCACCACAAGAAGAATTTCCATTAACGAGAGGGTTCAGGTCGACAGTCTTCTCTCATTCCAGTGGTGTGGACTGCAGTAAGCTAAGTCGAGCAACCGTTCTGTTCGAACTTATGTAAATAAATAAAAAAACGAAATGTAACAGATGGATAACACCAAAGCAAATCAAGCATTAGATCGAGCTTAGTCTAAAACATATAGATAGAACAAGTAATCATCAGATTCATATTTTCACCGAAGACTCTTCCCCAACCTCGATTTCCAATCACGGCAAGAATATCAGAAGAAAATGAACGGGAAAACTAAAAAAAAAAAAAAAAACACAGAGGAGACGTGAACAAAGATTACCCGTTGAGATTTCGGCCTGAGAACGACTGAATTGGGGAACCGAGTGTGCTGCTCTTAGTCTTCTTCCTCTTCGAATAGTGACGATTTAGAGATAGTGTTGATGAGGAGAGCGACGTCCACTCGAAGTTGGGAGAAATCTGATGAAATATGACCTGTACAATGATATAAGAAGCTGATCTGCTACGGCTTTGAATGGTCCGTCCTCGAACAGGGATTGTCTTTTAGGATGGTAATCCTGGACCTAATCGATGTGCAGGGGAGACCTAAGCTTGTCGTAATTTCAGGATGTCTCTCCTTGTGCGAGAACGAGGACCGCGATCGGTCTGAAAAGATTTGATGAAGGAAAACGGGCTTCCAACTTCGGTTTCGCAAGAGTAAGTGTAGTAATGTGTTGGATTTTATTGATCTTTTTATTTATTTTTCCTTTTCAGTGAGCTTGTGTCTAGGTTTATTAGTTGTCTACTTCCCGTTCCCGGTTTCTTAGGCCTCGTTCGCTTTTCGGTCCGGGTACGGGTAAATGCAGTTTATCTCGGGAAGTTTTTATTGAATATTTATTCGGTAATTGCATTTATTTATGTTATTTTATTTTTCATGTAAATAAGAAAATGATCATTTATTCGGATATGCCCTAGCCTGTGGCCCGCACAGTAATATACTATTTATATATTTATATATAATATATTATATAAACTATAATTATATAATAATATATAGTATATAATATATTAATAAAATAAATAATTATTTTTATTTTATTATACTCATTTATTTAATTATTGTATAAATCAAAATTCATATAAAATTAAAATTTTAAGTTTTTTTTTCAATTTTTTAAATAAATTGGCAAAAATAGCTTTGGCCCATGGAGTAAGTGATACTCAAGAAAATAAACTTTCCCTAATCTTCACATAAATCTAAAAACAAAACATGGGATTCTTGATCAATGCAAACCAAAATCCCATTGACCAATTCCCCCCACCCCTCAAAATCCCAAAAAAAGAGCGCTCCCTTAGTATATGTTTCACTGTATAACCAAATTGGTTTTTTATTATTCCAACATTTATAGTGATGAGACGTGCAAACCCCCCTTCTCCATCTTAGGGCCCGTTCTCTATGTAAGTGTATATTTATCGATTTTCTTTTATTTCTCATGAAAATTAGACTGATCATTTTATCCGTAAAAATTTATTATTAAAAGGGATAATTTTGTCTCATCAAAGTATTGACAACTTTCTCCCTTATGAGAATGTTGTTTTACTCACCTGGGAAATGGTATCACTTATTCGGGTAAATGATATGTAGGGAAAATATATTTTCAATGGACCTTACATAAATCTGAAAAAAGAATATGGTTTTTTGGTTAATGGGAACCAAAATCCCATTGACCAACTTTCCCCTTTCTCAAAATCCAAAAATGAACAGACCCTTAGGGTGTTTTCACACAATATTTTAGAAACTGACCCAGAGACCGAAATGTTTTGATTTCCGATTTTTTGGGTCAATGGTTTAACTGTCCAATCTGAACGAATTAGATTGGAACTTATTCAAAAAAAAAAATAGGACTGAAAACTGTTTGTTGGGTTGAATGGTCTTAGTGGTTCAACCATTTGGGCCAATTGTTTGACTGTCTCGTCTAAATAGTATGGCACATATTAAAAAATAAAAAATAGAAATAATTATAAAATAAATGACTAAAAAGCTATTCACTAGGTTGAAAGGTTTTAGTGGTTCAACCTTTCGAGTCGGTGATTTTTTGACCAATTCAATAGTTTTTTTTTTTTTTGATAAAAAACAGTTCAAGGATGACCGATTGTTTGGCTGATTTTCAAATCGAGTAGTCCTTCCGGGTCAATGACGGTTTGAAAATCATGTTTGCACAATTTTTACTTTTAAAAGATCCTGATCCGTTGCGTTGCTAAGAATGTTTATTTAGATTCATATTGTAGAGCAGTACAAGCATACCTTCATGGCTTTTTACATCTGGATGGTGCCTAACCTTAACCAGTTCACCTCCAAGTTATGCAACTGCACATTTCTCTCTTATCCAAAAGAATGCCCAATCAAGATTCAAGTGATATGAAAGTAATCCCAGCTCCTAAGTCCTGACCAATGAGCCGAGTAAACTCAGTTGCATTTGAATTGGATGGATGCCATTGCATTTACTCTTCCACAGTATTGGTGCATTTACACACTAGTCTGGGGTTAGAGTAATTTGTAAAAATATATTATGAATTCTGATTTCAGGCTTTATCATTGCATAAAACTTGTAGATAATTATATAATACGCCCCCTATACAACGAATAGTTTGATTAACTTTTGATACTTAGTGACTTGCTCCTCATATTGGGTGGCGTTCCCCATATAACTGCAATTGTTCTTTTTTTTATTTACTACTAATCATGTACGTATTTCGCATGTGTTAATTTTAGATGACGACGATAATTATAATAATGTATAAAAAAATCTATAAATATATATTTTTTATTTTATTTTTGTTTTTATTATTAATCGAATGCAAATCGCAAAATTCAAATCTGATTATATAAATACATCATCTAAATATGTGATAATTAGATCGAGTTGTAAAGTTTAAAGTATCATTGACAGGCCTACCTATTTGGCTATATTATTCTTTTTATAATATTTGATCTTTATGGTGTTTTTTTTTCATTTATCAAGAAATGTAAGATTTAAATAGGTAGTTCAATTGAATGAGGTGAAAATTAGTAGTTCAATTTACAATCTAAACCTCACAATTAAATAGTGACTAAACTCAAAAGTGAGTATTTTAGTCAAAAGAAAGTTTCACAAAATTCATATTTTTAATAGTAGTTCAATTTACAATCTTTTGTATTTTCATGTGTAAAAATAATTTTGACATATCACATTTACTTATTGTTTAATATGATAATTATATGATATTATTGATATGCCTGGATGTTTTTCTTTACAAAGTTTATTAATTTTTATTATTTATTTATGACATTAAATGTTAACACATTTAACCCAAAGGTTGAACCATTGGTCTTTGTCAAATCGTAAAATAATTTCATTATCTATTAATTCTAAATTATGTATTTCATTTTTCATTATCAATAAAATAATTATTATTTATTACACTTGATGCGACGCAATCTGGCTGCTCCTAGCTGGTGATGACTTGGCTTCCAGTAGACGACGGACATGACTAATCTGCAAAAGGGGAATCAGAGAACCCGGGGGTGCCTACTTGGTGAGGTCACTCCAATGCTTAAGTCAGTAACTTGCGAGCTGATGGTAGCTTAGAAAGCAAGAGAGCTAGTGAGCAGAGATTACGCGTACCTTCGCCCCTAGAGGGTAGGGGTCTTTATATACTGGAGTCCTCACGGGTTTTTCGGAGTGGTTCCGGGATCCTTGCTATGATGAGGCCCATTTCTGTGTTAACAGGAGATAACGCTGCTAGCCGATAAGGCTTATCACTGCCGCCTGAATCGGTCGGGGGAGATAAGGCTAGCTGTTACGAGGCGTGATCCGGTAAAGCGTGGAATCTGGTGGTGAGATCTTTGGGGTTGTCATTCAGAAGTCGGTTAATATTACCCGAGCTAGTGCCCTTTGGATCCGACCTGGTACGAATGCCGAAGCGCCTTAGAACTGATGTGGTCCTGATGCGATCATGTTCCGAGGTGGACTTGCCCCGAGGTGGTTCGGTTATCCGAGCTTGGTCCGTTGCAGACTTGATGCGTCGGAGTGAGTTGTCATCTTGTCGGTTAGGTCGTGTCCCCCTATTACTAGGTCGGGCCAAATCACCCTGCATCAATTGCCCCCCACTCCCCGAGCCAGGGGTCCTGACCCGGTGCGAGGAGTTCACGACGAGCCAAGTGGATTTGATCCGAGGTCCGGCCAGTTGGCCAGATGAATCACGGGTCGGACTTGTTCGGCCACCCGGCTCAACCAGGAAAAACCCAGGTCGCGTCTGTCCTACGCGCAGATGTCACACGATCTAAAAACTCCGCGAACGTCAAAAAACGCGCTAAACCAATTTTATCCTCGGGGGTCGCGCAGCCGATTTTCCTAAGAGCCATTGGATTGCTTCGATCTCGACCGTTAGTTCTCGGACATAGCAGATATAAATAGGGGGTCCGCGACTCATTCTTTTTGTCGTGAATTCTATGACTAAGCTCTCCCGAGGTCGCGTCAAAGTCTTCCAGCTCGGTCTTCTTTCTACTTTCCACTTCATCCTTTCTTTTCGGTGAGTCCTCGTTCCTTAGTTTTTTCCTGCTTTTCAATCATGTCGAGTCCTAGTGTAGATAGGCTCTTAGATAGTGCTAGCGAGGTGGAGGGTGTTGTTATTCCTGCCGGGGAAGTCAGCTCGCAGCAGGGTGCCTCCCCTATCCGGCCTTTAGAGGGAACCTCTAACCCTGAAGTCGAGCCATCTTGGCTCGGGGAGACCAAAGCTCAAGAAGAGGGTCCGTCCTCCAGATCGGGGGCCCCATCTTCTTCCCGAGGTCGGGATCCCGATGACTTCAGTCCTTCCACACTGTCTTCGGACAGATTATTGTACTTAGTGTCCCGCTATTGTCTCCCCGATGGATTGGTCTTTAGCTTATCTTTAGGTCAATACCCTTGAGCTCATGATCACAATGAGCTCGCTATTTTTGAGGAGCAGCTCGCAGCAGGGCTGCGCTTCCAACTTCACCCTTTCCCAGTAGAAATAGTTAGGTTTTACAATATTACCATTGACCAGCTTCATCCGAATTCTATTTAGAACATTGTTGGCACCATTTCCCTGTTCCACGCCTACGGTCGACCCCTGACCCTGGATATCTTTAGCTCGATCTGTAAGACCAAGCGAAACTCAGCCTGTCTGCGCGGGGTCGTCAGATAGAGCTATTACATCTCTCCCAGGCCCGGATTCAAATTTTTGCTCGGCTGCCCGAACAAGGTTCCGGTCTAGAAAAGGTGATATTTCATCGCCCGTAACCCGGAACGGTGGTATTTCCCAACCCACTGGAGGGTGGCTACTCAAGACCCCAGGGTGAGCTTGGACGCAGAGATTAGGGCGGTGATCAACTCATGGAGGGACCTCGACCTCGAGATGAAAAACTTCTTGGCTGAGGACGCGCTGGTGCGAGCTGGTTTGAGCCCTCCCGGTAGGTTTCCTTTCGGATATTTATTTAAAATGCCCTTTAAATTCTTGACTAACTGTCTCGTTTTTTGCAGTTACAATGCCAGAGGTCGACGCGGAGAGCCTCCTGAGAAGCTTCCAAAAGGAGAAGAAGTGGAAGGTCGTGAAGAGACTTCGCCGAGAAGTCGGGCCTTCAACCTCTGGACCAACTGAGGCCCTGGCCGTGGAGCTAATCTCCACAGAGCCCCCCAAGGACGAGGGCCAACCAGCGTGCTCTGTAGTGATCGTGGATGAGGGTCGCGAGGAGGATACTCGTCC